GATCAAACATTTCCAAAGAAGATTCCTTATACCAAAACACAAAAAAGAAGGGGATTGGATGCATGTGTTGTGAAGAATACATCTTGGAAGTAGTGAAAATTAAAAGAAGTTAAAATGTAGAGAAATTGCTTTGGGTCCTCTCAGAAAAAGATGTGGGGAAAAATAAGAAAGGGTGCACTAACCTAGTACATTACAATAGCTCAATTGTTATTAAAATATATAAAGTGGGTACTCACAAAACACATGTTGTATACGAGCATATCAAAAGATACAGACAAGACCACCTCCAAGTCCACCATACATGATTGATGGCTTTGAAGAGGGCCTTGCTGTTAAAATACGTTAGCCATCTATGAATGTTTAGAGGTCTTCCCATGCCATCAACCATGTATGGTGGACTTGGAGGTGGTTTTGTCTATCTTTTGATATGCTCATGTACAACATGTGTTTGTGAGTACCCACTTGTTTTTATACATTTTAATTAAAAAAAAAAAGTTAGTTATGGTAATGCACTAGGTCAGTGCACCCACTTTCTTAGTTTTGTAGCTTGTGAAAAAGGATGCCCACGGTTCTAAGAGAGCAGCAAGAACTTTTCCGTGCTGTACTTGCAAGATTAGCCAAGAGGAGAGTCCATCCTACCCCTAATCACCACACCTGAGCGCATTAGGTTACGTCTGAAAGATGTGGGAAACTATTGATCTATTTAAAATTCACCAAATCTGAATGAAATTGAGGCCTGTCCTCTAATAAATGTTAATGTCTGTGCAAAAACATTACCTTTTGGCAGATTGAACAGACAGAGGCAGTCCGTGTTGTTGGAAGAGTCTAGTCCAGGGGCGGACTGACAACTCATGGGGCCCCCGGGCAATAGGGGATCATGGGGCCCCTGTGTCCTTGCCCACACTCAAAGCACACCCAAAAAAAGCCTATAAAAAAAAAAAAAAAAAAAAAAAAAAAAAGAAGAAGAAGAAGGGGAGGTACCAGGGGCATTTCATGGGGCCCCCTACTGACCCCGGGCCCTCGGGCAGTGCCCGAGTGCTCGAATGGTCAGTCCGCCCCTGGTCTAGTCCATGTATATATTCCTACGGAAGTGGTGGTTTCCAACCACATTGTATCGTGCAAATTCAAGGTTGTTAAACTACCCCGCCACTTCCCTAATGTTTCAATTCATCAGTGAAAGCACCAGTTATATTTATTGGTGGATCAAAAAGAATTTGTGGAAGGCAGTGGGGTCAGCACTGGACTCTGCTGTAATCTGCATGGTTTGACATTTTTTGGTAGTCTAGAAAATTAGGGGCTTCCAGGCTACAGAAAAGAACATCTAAAGTTATGTGCAGGCTCAGTTCAGGGCAGGCTTAGTTTAGTACCTGCATTACAGTTCTGGAGCTTGTTCGGTAACCTTGGGTTTTAGGGCCAGCAACATATCATTTACGTGTTCATGCATGCACAATGTTAGAATCTTTATGGGACTTTAAACGTGCAGTTGCCCTGAACTTATAAGCCTCGGAAAGTAATTTTACTTGAATACACTTTTCTTTCCTCTTCTCTTTTATACAGTCTCCAGTATATAATAGAACGGGTCAATAACAGCGTGTGAAGTTTCAGGCTTCCCAACAGAACTATAAACTTGCCACTACATTTTTCAGCAAGACAGCAGCCATCAGTAGGCAAGATCATCATAAAAGATTTAAAAAAAAAAAAAAAAGGGTATGGTCTATGAGGTCACCTGATTTGTTCCCATTTTGATATTATCAGGGCCAACTTTTTCAATGTTTTTCCTCCAGGTTATGTCTTCCCCAATGGAGGGGGTTAGGGGGCTGTGAAGGTGGAGAGGAATCTCTATGCCTTCGGTGCACTAAAGGTGGCTGGGTCGGAAACCACAGAGAGCTTGTGGAGGTGGCTAGTAGCACTGAAAGTAGACCTACAGGCAAAAATTTTTTAATAGAGCAAGGGAGGGTTATAACCTGTGAGATTTTTTTTTCCCTCCATCTGTGTCCCATTGTGGAGGCTTCCCTTCACTTCCTGTCCCATAGCCAAACAAGGAAGTAAAAAGGAAATCCTTTCAAATTAAAATAATTTCTTGGGGACCCTCGGGTCAACAGAACTAGTGCCCCCATTGGAAGATTTCCCAAAATTCAGGGTTTTCTTTTACTTTCAATAACAAAAATAGTAAAACAGTACAAATAGAGAGGGTGAATCTCCTTAACATGGAAAGACAGCAATAAAAACAGACAAGAGTTCTAATCCCTCTCCACTCTTTTCCAAAACTAAAAATATATTTTGCCTTTAGTTATACTTTAAAAAGGCTGGGGAAGGTGGGGGCACAGGGCAAAGGTTTAGGGGTGCCAAATACTTTTGTGAGAGGAAGTCTGTCTGAGGTTGCTTTGCTGTGCTTAATGGCAGGCATAGATTGTCAATGCCTCCCTATGATGCTAGCTTTAGCAGTGCCTAGTGCTGAAACGTTTATGCTCTTCAGAGTGTCCTGGATCCAGACAGCCCTTAAAGATCTAGGTAATTTCTTTATCGGTTTGATGCTGCCTCTAGTGGCAATGACACCCTAGGCCTGGGTGGCAAATATGGCCCTAGATCTGGAAAGTCATTTTTGTAAGTAAAATATCAAATGACTCCCATGATATGCTGGCCTTATTAGCCCATGATTTAAGGAAGAAAAAAGAAAAAACACTGGATTTCAGAAAAAGTTATATAAAATGTATTTTCTCTCTTTAAAAAGCATACATACAGATGTAACAGTAGGCACAAGGCTCCCCCCTTCAATATATACTGCTATGACTATACACCATGATTCACTATATCACTTCCAACCAAATCCTTCTGCTGGACTTCATTATATATTTAACAAACATAATTTACATCTTTACACATGATTTTAAAGTTACATCCCTGAAGTTGAAAAAAATAACCCTTTTCTCCGTTGTTCTGTCAAGCAGACCAATAAAAACTAAGACCAAATATATAAATTTATATACAAAAAAACACCAGAGTCTATACACATTCAAGCACAGAATCTGTGCAAAACCGGAATAACTGAGGTTTCCATGTCATGAATTAGAAGAGAGAAATCCTGCTCCTTAGCTTAACATGTATTTAGAGATTTTAATACAAGCTCGTTCTACTCATATTGCAGAGGTGTCTGAAAACAGGTGCAAATCATCCCATGGAAGTTGTCACTGTGGTTTAGACTACCACAACTTTGTTCATCCATACAGATGGCCATCCGTCTCTAGCAAGAGGAGACTGACAGTCGGTCACGAAACCCAACACAAAAGCAACTTTTATGGTTTTACCGATTGTTGTCTAGGGAAAACCTGCAACTGTTTTTAGAGACAACTTGGATTAAACATTAATGCAATATGGTATATGAAAAAAAAACCAAAACATTAAGAAAGAGATATTGTAAGTTGCTATTTCTGTTTTGGACAGGGTTTATAGTTTGCCAACGTTTTTTTAATATAAAAAAAGATGCTGTAAATGTATAAATAAAGGGGGAAAATGAGGATATGATGAAAAAGTTAAAAATGATCTTAAACCTATATTGAGCATTTACATAAAAATGTAGCCAACATATACAGACATTGGGATGAAAAAAAAATTGAGATAAAAGGTGCCCTTACCCTGAGGCCCCCGTGATAATATATGGCTGCTACTAGGGTATTGCTGGAATTTTTTTTTTTTCTATTTCAGACCTTATGGTTAAAAAGGCTGAAAGCACAAAAAGTGCCTGTGTTTGCAATACCAACCAGTTAGATGCTAGTTTCCTTGTGCTTTAAAAATTACAGGTTTAGGTCTGCTTGGTTACCATGCACAGTCAACATACTTGTTGTATTAAGTAATCTTTTCAAAAATAAGATAAGAGTGTTACACTGGTTACAAAACACAGTCAACACAATTCAAAACTACATAAGTATAATGTAAAGGCCACATAAAGAAAAAAAACCTAAAAAACTCTCTCAAGCATTTCTTTGCTAAAGGGATCAAAAACAAAAACTTCAAATCAAATTTTATCATCAAAATAGTGTTAAGAGTGCTCTAAAACCTTCATCACGACTCATTTCTGATGGGTCAGACAAGAAATAGAATTGGTTGTTCTAGGTTATTGTCCTATCCCTGCTGCCTAGCTGAATAAGCCTGCATGGTTATTTCCGTCACAATTCTACTTCTGGTCATCCCATTTTCACTGTCCTTCCAGCTGAACTTATAGTGCATCGAATAAAAAGAAACATGGCTTCACTATTTCCGGACAGAGGGGGAAAAAAAAAAAAAAAAAAGTGTTATAATATGCTTCTTCTAACCTGTGCTTGTTTGTCACATTCTCATTTGCTAATCCCAGATTTGGCACCTCTGATAAATCCTCACCATATATACACACGCATACTGTAACTATATATTATATACGTAATAAGCTCATGTATACACATTTACAAAAGTAAAGTTATAAAAAATATATTGCACTTCTTATATACATTGCAGCTTCGTGGGTTCGGGATTTAACAACAAGACCCATATGTTTCTTCATATGCAAGGCAGTTTTAACAAGTGGTAAATATATAAAGCCCTTTGTTGCCCATGTTTAATTGCATTGCAGGCCCCACTCAGGTTCTTTAGTCTGCCCCACCATTTGGTTAGAAAACCACCATCCTCCAACCTGCTGTAGTTTTCTGCTAAAATGTTGACTGTTTTGTGTTTCGATTTCACTTCTTCTGCTGGCAGACAAGAAAAAAAAGCAATTCTTCAGCTTGCTAAAGAACCCATGAGAATTTTGTAGTGTTCAAAAAAACCTGCAAGGCACTTCAGGTCATGCGGAGCAGAGTGTTTTCCCTGCAGTGTTGTGCCACCCGTACAGATTGTAGGTAACAGTTTGCTCAGATATTCTGAAGGATTGTAACAGCAGTCTGATTTTCCTCCTTGGAAGCTGACCCGTCTTCTTGCAAGGCAAGTGGTGAACACTGGCCTTGAACAGTCTGTGTTCACGGGAGAGTGCGTTAGATTTCCGTCAGAGTCAGCTTGTAGCTTCCCCCAGTCTCTTCAATCTGAAGCTGAAAAGTGTCTTCATTTGAATAGTGCCGAATGATGTTGTCATCCATGTTGACCAGGATCCTAGGGAGATGGAGAAAAAGATTTAGAACGATGATCATTTAATGGAAAGCAAGCTTCCAAAAACAGACCCAAGACTAGAGAGAAGGAACCATTACAGTAATAGGCAAAGATCTAAAGGCAGGCAGCATTACAAACACGCTTTGAGCTATACAAGATTTCCAGCTTGCTCTAAAGAAGGGGAAAACCTTAATTTGCGTTAAAGGGACAGTCAAGTCAAAAGTGATATTTCAGCTGCTGGTAGAGTCTGGTGGGCAAAGTCAGACCCTGTTTCTTATATACATCTAGGTAAGCCCCACAATGAGAGCTTCCTGCCATATTTGCCAACTTGTTTCATGTCCACATTGATGCTTTGAAGGTTCCTGCCACCATTTGTTTTCGCCCTTCTTGGCTTTTTTTATTTTATGTAACAGGAGAAGCTGAAAGGGAGCTGCTCATATTGGCCACAGCAGGTGTACTTATGTAATAAAAGTAGAGCTCCCAAAAGATGAGAAACTATCACATGGGCCAACTTTCCTTAATAGACTCTGGACTTTCTGCCTAGCGGTGCTGCAATTAGTTTTACAGTTCCTCTCCATCAATGTAAATAACCCTGCTCAGAATAAATGAAAACACTCTGGGTGGTCTGTCCCGAAATCTCAGCAGTTGTTCCACAGGGGATCACAGAGTAGAAGAGGAGGAAGGTGGCAGGGTCTTGGGGACACCATTGTACTGTTCCCCTCTTACCCCTAGTTGGGCTGCTAAAGCAACAAGATTTTGTTTCTTACTGAAAAAAAAAAAAGCCGGTTATGGTAGAAATATAAGCAATTTTCCTTCATGCTCAGTAACCAAAATATTTTTGATCCAGTGAAATCTTAAAACCATAGACCACTTTCTAATTTGTGAAGGCAGCAGATGAGCATGACAGCCTGACAAACCGCACCCTTTTTTAATCATGATAACTTAACTTTAAATAGCATTCCACAGGTCCAGTAAGGATTGGACATGATGGCATGTTCGCCATGTAAGGATTTGACATGGTGGCAGGGATCCACAGAACTAGAGAGGGGACCCAAACCGAACTCAAAAATCAAAATTAAATAAAAGGGATTCAAAATCCCAGTGAAAGACATCTTTATTTTCCACTTGAGCTTGAAAACTGGTGTTTCAAATTTCACAATCCAAAAAACACACAGCTAGATTAAAACCTGATTTTGGCAAACCTTATCCTTAAACTGTATGTCTCTGTATGACTGTGGCAGGGACAACATATTGTGGGCTCCACTGGGGCAGCAACTAACGTGAAGGATTTACGGGCTTTCAAAAGCACTGAAGAATATGTTGTTCTTCTCACATATTTATACAATTTGCTACAGACATATGGGAAATTAGTAGTCTACAATTAAAAATTGTCACACAAAAAAGCCAAATCAACAGACTTACTGCCTCCAACACATGTGAGTAATGAAAAGCTAAAGATTACATACTTTCAGAAAAGGAGTAGAAAATAACTTACCCTTTTTTACATTTCTTAAAGATTTTTCCAATTTTCTCAAAGGGAACTTCATATTTTTCAGAGACCTAAAAAAAAAAAAAAAAAAAAAAATTTACTACTGACACATACATAGTCTGGTTGTATTTTTGTAAATACAAACCGTAAAAGTTAGAGTAACAGCATACACAAACTTACCGGACGCCTGTAGGCACAAGCCTACTGTATCTAATGGTAACAGGGGCAGCTTAGTGCTACTAACCCCCCTCTCCCATTTTCCCCAACATTCATCTCATATGTTTTTTACACGGTCACATTTTTTATAAAAAAGGTTGAAACTTTTTATTATATGTGATCCCAGCAAAGGGTGTTGCAATGGCACCAAAGACTGGGTGTCTACAGGCCCCAGTGATTGATTTCCAGCCCTGGTATTGCTCCACATTTACTGGTTTTATTTTGACCAACAAAAGTCACTTTTACTTTGACCAACAAAAAGAGTACTCTCTGCTCTGTTTTACGGTTAATGCTAAAAAAAGAAGCCAATTATATTGCAAGTTAAGGGATGTCCTAAATTCAAAATGTAGGTACAACTTAAACAAAAAGGGAGTTAGGAGGGATTCAATTAATCAGAAACTTATCTGCTGCAGCAAGGACATCCTCCTGGGGTGCTCTTGCTCCAGGTCATGTGGCCTGATGCCACGGCAGCCAAGCACTGAAGTCAGCTCCAGCAGATGAAGAAAGATACTGCCAGTGTCGGTGCCAACAATGGGGAGCTGACAAAGGCTATGTGACAAGGTCAGGTTTAAACCCCAGGATCTGGGATCTGAGCCCTGCTGAATCTCTGTTACAGCAAACTGTACGCTAATGCTAAAGCTTTTAACTCTACCCATCTAACCAACCCTCCCTAACCGAGCTTAGGTTGGTTATCACATGAGAGCTTAGCAAGCCTAAAAGTATGTTAGGTGTAAACAGCTCATCCTAAAAAAAGATACCAGAAGTAGCAAGAGTCAACCCATCAGGCCACACCTATACATTTTTTGGTGGACTACCCCTTAAGAACCATTTAAATACAAAAAGACTATCAAAGTCATCCTATTCTAAAAAATTGCATTTCCTAGACAGGAAACAAAACTCAAGCTGAAACCACCACTAATCCTTCCGAAGGGATATAAAAAAAAAAAAAAGGATACTTACAGCTTCTATTAGTCCTTTCAATGATGGAGACTTCAGCATAAGAGCATCAAAAACTTCTTCCGTCTCCCTCCGCACATACAGCAGCACTGCAACAGCAGAGGAAAAACAAACTGTCACATTGCCAATAGACATCTTCCCAATCACCTACCGAATATACTTAGCATGAAAAGTGCAAATTCATTCCACATAAGAATACTTGTTGCATTATTAGGCAATGTGCAAAATGCATTGTGATTGGACATAATTGTCCCAATACATCCAAGGTCATGTGCAGACAAGCAGCCTGCCACAATCTGACAAGTACATGTGAATCACAGACTTGAACGAATATGCTGTAAATGAGTTTCAGAAAAGTTTATCTTTAATGCCTCAGAAAGGAGGTGAAACCAAAGCATAAGCATTAAAGCTAGGCAACAAAGTCTCAAGAAAGAAGGTCTACATCAGCCCGTCCCAACCAAGGTTCCATGGAGCCCTAGGCTTCCTTCAGGGTTTTCCTGGGGTTGCTTGAGCAGGGGCAGACTGACCTCCCACCTGATGGTGTCTGCATAGTTCTGGGCTGACACCACCCAGCAGAGCCATCAGGTTAGGTCCAGTGCAGAAGTCCTCATCTCACAGGTAAGCAACCACTGACACCAATGCTCTTTTTATCGGTCTGGAATGGAAGCATCCTTCCTTCCCACTGACCACCAGTGTAAGAAAGCCCTTCTTCACTGGCCATCAATGTAAGGGGACCATCCTTTAAATGATGCATTTCTTTTCCATTCAGTATTATTGGTTTAAATTTGGGTACAAAAAAAAAAAAAAAAAAAAAAAACTCTAGGTATGTCACATTATGTATGTATTCTTTCATTCTAAAATCTACAACTTACTGATCGTGCAAATTAAAAATTTTCAATATCATCAGGGGTTCCCCGAGACCTAAAAATTGTAAATGGTTGCTCCAGGGTAAAGATGAGAATGGCTGGTCTGCATAACTCTTTAAACACAGATTCACTATAAAAAAGGTAATCTTTACCGAGACAAATATTGCTGCAAATTCTGTTCTTGGAATACCAGTTTCCCAGTTGTCTCTGGCTTCAGCATTTTTTTCCCCTCACCATCCTGGAACAAGCATGCCGATTAGCAAGTCAGCATTCCCAATTTGCATACTTATCCCTGGTCAGTGTATGAAAAAGTACTAAAGCAGCCAACAGCCTTTTCCGAAAGCTTAGCAGGGGCAGCATTCACATTTCCACACTGCAAGTTTCCTTTAAGGTACCCATGCTCAGGTATTGATCAGCCTACAAGGGTACCTTTAAACAAGCTCCTAACAGTAAGGTATGTATTGTACCCAACATTTTTACACGCTTTTTGCCTTAATATTTACCTGGTGATGCCGCCAGTAACATACTTCCTATCTGAGGGTGACAACACTGCCTTACTGTACACGTATGAACAGCAGTGCTGTCACCATATTACAAGACTGCAGAACACTTATCCCATATAATGTAGAGGGGTGTTCTGTAGTTCACAAAAAAAAAAAAAAAACACAACTTTGAACAATGCTCACAGATGCCACTAGGCAGAGACAGGAGCACTGGAGGTTATCAGCTGACTGAATATCTGGTAGGATCAAGGGATATTTTATTGCACTTATCAAGAAGGTATGTCAAAAGGCTTCCAATGATAGAATTTAACATACAAAAAAAAGGAGACGTTGAGAGAAGCTGATTGTTACAGTGCAAGGACAGGTCTTTCACCCTGAACAATGGACTTCACTGTGCAGCTCTCCCAGTAACCCTCTTATAATGCACAGGTACTCTTTCCCCTTTTAAATTACAGAAGAAAAGTGAAGGGCAATTAAGAAATTTCAGTTTTTGTGAACTAGTGTAAGCCATTCCATTTATATGCCTTCCCTAGAGCCTCCATTCTTCCACCAGCTAAATACGTGGCCTACAAAAAATTATTCTTCCAGTTAAAAATACCAAGACAACCAGTAAAGAAACAAAAAATAAATGAATGAATGCCTATTGGATTTTTATCAGACGCAGATGAAGTAGACCATAAATACCTCTCTTTGGTTCATCTATTCTTGGTATCTTAGCAGGAGGCGTTCCAAAGTCTTCCTCAGGACTGAACGGCACTCTCTTCATACCAGAGCTAAACATAAAACAGAGGAAATCTAAATCTTTCATGTTGTATATACATGTGCAGACTGTACCAGAGCAGGTCTACATCATATGCATTTATTATAAACTGGATTTAATGTTTCCAACTAGCCAAATAATTACAAATATATAACCATTTCCCTGCTAACCCATACCCTAAAATTAGCATGATGATTGCTTGGAGCATTACAAGTACTTTTGGGAGCTTTAATCTTCTGCTGAGAAGTGGATCACTACTTCCAGGTCTCAGCCTTGCCCAAGATCTGTGCACAGCCAAAAGAGCTGATTGGTTGATTGCTGAAGAGGCTGCCAACCAGAGCCTCTGCTTACCATCAGAACCTAGTTGCAGTTTAGACCCAGAAGTGGTAACTGGCCAGTAGAAGGTCAAAGCAACCGAGAGATATTTACAACACCCAGTGGTCTTAGTGTTGGCTGAAGTTAAGGGTTTTTTTTTAAGTCAAGGTCTTCCACAGTGCTTTTTTGATATGTTATAGTCCAATCAGTTTTCATTTGCTATATATATATATATATATATATATATATCTCGATGTATTATCAAAAAAGAAGGGAATGCCTAATCACTATAGGATACTTCAATTACATAGCAATTGCACTTAGCACTGTCAGACCTAATTTCCAAATCATTAAAAGACAAACCCCCCCCCTCAAAAAAAAAAAAAAGGATCAATTACTTTCCCCATCCATCTCCTCTGGTGAAAGGGGGAGCACCTGGAAGACAATGGAACAATAAATCATCAATTGTTAAAATATTTATTTTGCTTTCCAAAACTTGCATTATAGGACTTTACTATGATTTGAAAATAAAATAAAAAGCCTATGTAATCTTGCGATTTGTTTATTCAGTGGCATATAAATGGTGTACTGTTAAGCTATTCTTTATATTTTATCTTCAGTACCCATGAAAGATGGGACCTTGCCCTTCTACTACACTTACAATGAGAATATCAATTTTTCTGGGGCTGCTTTTTGTCCTGATATATTGATCAAGTAACAATAAACACAGTTTAGAACCTGTAGCAGGAAAATAAGTCTGTCTCAAAGCCTCCACTGTCTACACACACACACACACACACACACACACACACACACACACACACACACACACACACACACACAACACACACACACACACACACACACACACACACACACACACACACAACACACACACAAAAAAAAAATGCCCCAGGTATAAAGCATAGTTATCTACAGCAGCCTCCTATTCCATCCGGTCATGACAAGGAAGGGGGGCAGAGAGCTGCAATTGCAGTCTGCAGAGCCCAGTGAGGAGAGCTGATTGGAGTGGAGAGACAGCCCCCCCCTCCACACAGCTCACATGACCAGAGCTGAGGCTGTCAATCTGCCAGAAGGTCCCTCCCCATTTTTCTCTTGGTGTCAGTAAAACTCAGGGTTGCTGTTAAAAAACCACAGGGCCCCATACAGCCAACTTAACAGGTCCCCCTCCAAAAAAAAACAAAAACCCACAGTTTACTATGCTTCAGGTATGAATGAACACAGTGAGTGGCTGCTACTGATCACTCATAGTTATCATTAAGGAAAGGAAGGGGCTGGTAAATGTGACATATTTACCAAACCCTTCCCCACCCTCCATCCTAAAGGATCCTGTTGTGTGCTTACAGATGCTAGAGTTAAGGAGAGGAGGAAAGCTGGCAGCACTAAGGGGGTGGGGACATGTATGGTGTAAGGGAGAGGGATGGGTGAGGAGGCGGTGGGGGAAAGGGGGGGGGGGGGCAATTACTGGAACTGATCCCCTGTATTGCTCTCCCCTCCCTTCCCGCTGTGCCAATCACCCTCCCTGTTCACATCTGATTCGCCCAGCTGCCTGCATCCCCTTGCTGGCTGGGGCCCTGTATAGGAGGACTAGTGGTGCCCCCTTATCCGCAGCCCTGGTAAAACTTGTCAGAAGCAATTCATGCTGATGGCAGAGGAACAAGGCAGCAGACAGAAATGACACTTCATGCTCTGGATAGAGACAAGTACACACTATAAAGGGATAGGTTTTATTCATATTTCAAGTCTGAGGTTTACTACAACTTTAAAGAGGGAACCTTATAGGAGAACAGAAATACTTACATGAGTGGTGCGCTGGAGATTGGCAAAGTGTACATCGGGGATAAACAGGACAGGCTGTGTGTCCAAGTCTTGCATGGGTTTGAACACTGTGATGTCTGTCCGCTTGTGAGAGGGAAGCAGTGCTCCTTTAACATCTGTAACTATACAAGAAAATAAAAGGAAGTGATTCATCTACACAATCGTGTAAGCCAGAACTGGTTTATAGCAAAGGTTTTCTAACCAACAAGCCAAAAACACAAAATATGCTGGACTATGACACAGACCATATTAAAAACCTCAGATCCATTCAGCCTCTCTACTAAAAAAAAAAAAAATTATAAATATAAAATTAATTATTGCTATATGTCCATGTTGGAGAGCAAGTGGAAATCCCCAATGAAAACAGACAGAAATCCAACAAATGTTCTACCCCTTCCCCACTATATTCATGACCCAAGAGAAGTTTCAGCTGGAGTTCTCTTTTCACCTAGATTAAAAATATCACATAAAACCCTCAAAATGAGTGTGTTGGAAGGTAAAAGCAAAAAAAGTCTCATAATTCCTCAGAACAATTATGGAGACTATGAAAGTCAGAGTAAAGTCAGGAGCCCTTATCTGCAGGCTGGTTAGGATTAGTCACTTAAGTCCTGGATCAGAAGGGTCTGTATGACCCAGGCAGAAATGTAGCATTTGCAAAAGGAGACGTCAGAAATGGCAGACTCCATGTTTTTCAGAAGAAAAATTTCCTTTAGGGCCAGTTCACATCATAAAAACATAGTCTGGATGCTTTCCAGATGCGTTTCTGCATGCACCGTTTGATGCATTTTTGCTGCATTCCGGTGCATTTTTCCCCCCTTATATGACATTTCGGTACATTTTACCTCATCCCAGTACAGTTCAGTGCAGAAAAAAGGCAGCATATTCTACTTCTTTTCTGGAACTGGAATGCACTGGAACTGACCGCACTGGTGTGAACTATGCCATAGAAAACTATATAACCAACTATACATGCGTTTTTCATGCAGAAAAAGAAAAAAGAAAAAAAAAAAAAAAACTGCACGGACTGCATGTGGTGTGCACTGGCCCTTAAAAGCAGAACCGTAAACTAGAATATAGAGGGGAAAAAAAAAACCGGACAAGGAAAAGGAACTGGCAACGAATGCTCTACTTTATTTAAATAGTCACCCATTCGATTACAAAGTAATAATTACAATGACTTCAGAATGCAGCCATGCATAGTGTAGGACACATATGTGATCAAAGAATTACGCCTGGAGTCTCATCAAAAAGGAGAAAGTTCTCCGTCCGCATATGCCAACATCCTATATATCATAGACAAAATCTCAAACTGTGTAGCAAATTACTTTTAAAATTATCAAAAAAATTCCAAGGCCACAAAAATACATACAATCTAATATTTACATTTGTACAAAATATACAAAAAAACTTATACATAACCATGTCCGTATGTTCCAGCAACAGGCTTACAAAATATATTATGTGACATTTTATAAATCAAGTAGCACACTATACATGAAAAAAAATGTCATGTGGCCTGCTCTACTTGATTTATATTTTAAAAAAAAAAAAAAGGAAGAGGAAAGAAGACGAAAGAAGAAAGAAAAAAAAGAAAGAAGAGGAAAAAGAAAGAAGAGGAAAAAGAAAGAAGAGGAAAAAGAAAGAAGAGGAAAAAGAAAGAAGAGAAAAAGAAAGAAGAGGAAAAAGAAAGAAGAGGAAAAAGAAAGAAGAGGAAAAAGAAAGAAGAGGAAAAAGAAAGAAGAGAAAGAAGAAAGAAGGAAGAAGTCCATATACATAATATATATCTTTTGTACAAATAAATGTAGATTTTTAATTGTATGTATTTTGGGAGCATTAGAATTTGATATGCCCTTAAAAGTCCTTTGCTATGCAGTTTGAGAATTTGTCAATGCCTGGAGTTTCCTTTTCGGGCCCCTTGAGCAATCTAGGTGCAGTACCTCCCTCCTGGTATTTTATTGCATCCAGGAGGGATAGGCAAAGTGTCCTTTTCTGCCTGATATAGACTTTGACAGGCTGTAGGCAGTGGGGCTGGACACTGCACCTAACCCTCTTGGGCGCACTAAAATGCCAGGAAGGACACACTAACACCTAGGAGGTGCAAGGGGCCCTAACAGGTCAGTGAGACATATTGGGACAATTATATCATTTCTACTTACAAGCATTGATCTGGGAGCTGGGCTCAGTACACTTGCCTTTTCTCTTGCTCTGCTTACGTTCTTCATCTCTGATTTTACGTTCAGCACCCTACAACAGACAAACAATATTTTAATTGTTTTTACAACTTGACTAGAAATGCTAGACAGATGAATCATAGCACTGGAATAGACAAATCTGCTCTATAGGTCTAGTCTTTGTTGAAAAAAAGGTAAATCTGATGAAATATGCAGAGCTGTGTGCTGGAGGCACTTCCATCACACCGACAGATAGATCTCACCTTATCACAGAAGACTTTGATCTGGCAGTAGGCCCGATGGATGGGTTTGTTACTTCTGTTGTTGTAGCTGTATGTATCGATCTGGATGTTGAGCGGCAGCCCCTTCACCCCTTTCTGGGAGGAGAAGTCTGTACTCAGACAGTTCACAGATATGAACACCTGCAGACAAGGACAGATATATGTCAGTAATCATTTATGGAAGGCCTTCTGAAAATACACTCAATTCAAGTTATTTGTAGTAGGAATTCCTTATTCCCATCATACAAAAAAAAACAAAAACAAAAAACAAAATAAAAAAAAACACCATATACACTAGGAGAATTCCAATATCACCTTTAAAAGTGTATTTAAACCCAAAACAAAGAATGTAATATATTGCATCTCATTAGTCTTTAGATGCATTAGATTGTTTTTTTCAGATTGTCTCTTTAATTTTAACCTGGTGATCATGCCAGTAATACACTTCAATTTTAACCTGGTGATCATGCCAGTAATACGCTTCAATTTTAACCTGGTGATCATGCCAGTAATAAGCTTCAATTTTAATCTGGTGATCATGCCAGTAATAAGCTTCAATTTTAACCTGGTGATCATACCAGTAATACGCTTCCTGTCCTAGCATGACAACACTCACTCACCATACTGTATTTATAGAGGAGCAGTGTTGTCATCCTAGGACTTTGGACTACAAATACACCCAGTGATGGATTACCAAATAGGCAGAGTAAGCTCCAGTCTATGGGCCCTACGCCATTTAAGGGCCCGGCAACAACAGATCAAAATATTGGATTTGATTTTGAAAGAATGTTACAGTGCAGCTTTCTTAAAACTGTTAATAGGGAAAAAAAATGAATCAACTCAAAGAAACAAAAAAAAAGTTAAAGACTCCATAAAGAAAATACTGTATTAATGTACTGTACAATAAAAGCAACTTAAAGTTATGGGCAGCACAGTGGCTAAATGGTTAGCACTTCCGCCTGGCAGTACTTGGGTTGTTGGTTCGAATCCCAACCACGGCACCACCTGCCTGGAGTTTGCATATTCTCCCTGCGCCCGAATGGGTTTCCTCCGGATACTCTGGTTTCCTTCCACACTCCAAAGATATGCTGGTAGGTTAATTGGCTTCTGTCTATATTGGCCCTTGTATGTGTATGTATGAATGTAAGTTAGGAACCTCAGATTGTACACCCCTTGAGGGTTAGGGACTGATGTGAACGTACAATAAATATGTAAAGCGCTGCGTAAACTGATGGCGCTGTATAAGTAGTTGAAATAAAGTACATAAACCATAGACATCAGGTTCACATTGCAGTTAGTCTCTGAAAAGCTCATCATCTTTCAGCTGTCAGTTTGTAAAAGATTTTGGTGCAACCAACATACGTCTAATATATAGTAGTGATGGTCATCTCCATCTAGCGGCTGAAACCTCCAGAAACCTGTGAGCCCCCCCCCCCCCCCCCCCCCCCCCAAGGATTTGACAGCCTAGGGACCTCCACAGAGTTCAATGTGGCAGTGAATACACCACACCCCCCTTTCCTCATCTGTTACATAGAGAGCTGTTCTGTAGTTCTGGGAAAGCGGATAACATTGAGGTTTTAGTTCAGTACACAGAAAGTTACAAGAACACAGTATTTCTACCAGAATCAGCAGGTAAATTGCTGCACTTTCTGAAAATAAGAAAAAGAAGCCTGAAATAAGAAAATGAATACAGCCACCACATCTAAAAGATAGGTAAGCTGCAAGGCATTATATTTTTCTTTTGAGTTAAGCTATACTCAAATTATTTATTATTTGTATATACTGTAGCATGGCATTTTTGATCGACTTTAAAACCAGAAGGTATTGTGGGGGTTTTTTTTGTTTGTTTTTACATAGTTTCTCAGCACCAAAAATAGGCAAAAATTACTTAACCAAGGTATTTGTTTTAGAGATTTTATATTGGATTTCTACCTAAATGCCTCTATTAGGAAAACCATCATTTTCACATTTTTTTGGTCTTTTATGCATAATGTGCCGATTCAATGTTAATAAATTCTTTTATGCTTTTGCCGCCTTAAAATTTAATGTCCCGCATAAGCCTTAGGCAACAGTTTGGATATACTGTATGTATGTTCTATAGTCATCTCTAGGTGACAGTATTACAGCAAAGCTCTGGTAGGAATGTATTGCCACCTGGTGGATATTTACTATAAAGCAGTCATGACTTGCAAGATCACAGCAGTTATAAAATATTAGAATTACTGATTAGGCTCCATCACAGTCCATCAGTCTACTTCAAAAATGACCAAAGTTAGTTTTATGAATCACAAGACTGTAGGCAAGCAGATGATCCTGAAACAAGTAACGTGTATGCTCTTCTTAGAGGGGAGGAAGGAAGGAATAGCATTGCCCACTGCCAAGAGAAATAGTTTTTTTTCCACTAAGACTGTTTTTTTTGTTTTTTTTTAACAGTTTTTATAACTCTAACATTTGCCAATTACCACTTGTCGATCGCTGGACTCATCTTGCTAGTGTTGTCACAGTCAATGTAAATTGACCTTCAGTTTCCATAGCAGTGCTTCCCAAGAAAATGAATGATTAAGTGCCAAACTATTGTAGGAGCACCTTTCATGGGGGTTTCAAGTACCTGGCTCTCACAGGAGTCAGAGTGATGTCACGCAAACCTGTGTCAGAAGCTAGGCCATGGTAAGTTTTTTTTATCCCAATGCAAGATTCACTTTAAATATCAGGGTTCACATATGCTTTCCATTCACTTATTGCATTCCACAATCACTCATGAAGTGAAAAATCAAAAATGTTTTGTTTTTTTCTCAGTGACCCCCTAAGTCACTTAGCATGTCCTGTACAGATACAGGGGCCAGCAGGAGGAACCACAGGAAGCAGGCATCTGAGAAACTCAGTATATCAGATGTAAAGATAGTTTGGCCAGCTTGACTCAGCAAGAAAATATTTTAAAATTAGGAAAGTATTAAAAATGTGCTTTTTTTTTGTGACCAATGTGACACTTTAACTTGACCCAACCCATGATCGTTGATGTTAGTCGATTGCTTGACCCTGTCCACAATAAATGACATTAAGAAGGCTGATACTTTAAAGTGTTAAAAAATAAAATAAAAAATACTGCAACAGGGGCGGACTGACAACATGGGGCCACCGGGTAATAGGGGATCATGGGGCCCCTGTGTCCTTGCCCAAACTCAAAAAAGCCTATGAAAAAGGTACCAGGAGTATCTCATGGGGCCCCCCACTCACCCCGGCCCTCAGGCAGTGCCCAAGTTTCCAAATGGTCAGTCTGCCCCTGTACTGCAACAACAACCTTTCGGTGAAGAATTCGAAAAGCAGAGATTTACCAAGAAGAGACCTGGAAAAAAACAATGATAGTTCTGAAGATCAAGCAAGCTACTTTGTGGACAGCTTTGAAGAAGTGGTAAAACTGGTTAGTGAAGTCATCTGCAAGTGACATTACTAGGTAACAAGCCATTGGCCAACTCCAGGCCCAACCCCAAGAAACAATCCTCAAAGCATCTTCAGCTTGTTTAGCAAGATTCTTCCTTGGAAAGGCAACAAAAGCAAAATGCAAAGCAAAAGCGCAAAAACCCGGTTCATCCTCATTCCTCCTGCATAGTGAAGTAAACAAAACTTGTGCGTTTGTAGTTGGCCCTGTCATGTTAGGAAAGTTCATTCGGTTTGAATCGAGAAAAAAAAAAAAAAAAAAGCGTACGTTTCACTACTGCTATAAAAAGATAAAGTAATCAAACCTATCCAGTGAAGCACACAGATTTACTAAATATACCTGAGCTATTCATACATTTCTGTTAATTCAGCTTTGTATTCATTAGTAAATATATTATATATATATATATATATATATATATATAATTTATTTTTTTATGGATTTCAATGTCAGTACCTAGTAGACTGAGGGAGGAGGAACAGCAGTTATGCTGCAAAGGTCATGTGATAACAAGTAACTTGCCGACAGGAGGAGAGAGCAGAGTGACAGATGAGCCCATCAGTCTCTCTGCTTCTCCCTTCACTGTCCAGTCACAGACTGGCAGAAGGACAAGATTTGTAAAGGTTACTGAACTGCAGCAGAGGAAAATTAAGTCTTCTGTCCTACTAGAGAAGTCAGAAGAGAAGGAGGAATTTTCTCCTCCCACACCACCATTTTCTGTCTCAGTAACAAGGAAATCACAAAAAAAAAAAAAAAAAAAAAAACTTAGCAAAAGGTTCCAAACTCATCTCCACAGAATCCAAACCAAACATGACAGAAAGTTAGGAGAAATCTCTAAATCTCACCAACGTAGCCCAGAAAGATAGTAAGATTCCAATACAGCCTCCAATGCTTTCCCATGCTATCTAAAACATTTGGCTGGACATACTCCTGCTCCATACTCGATGCTCCTTTATCCTACAGACAGATGGCAGTATGTGCCAACAAAAACCTTTGGGGGTCTTTGTCAACTGGATGGAATCTCTTCATTTCAATGGGTTTTGCATTCACACACATGAAAATTAAAAAAAAAACTGCCTAAAAGCAGGTCAATAGGAAATCAACTTCAGGTTAAATTTACCAGTGAATACATTTCTGCAGTGTCTCTAACTGATGTCAAAGTGAAGTCATCATCACAGGCCCTTCAGCTCAAAAAAAAAAAAAAAAAAAAAAAAAAAAAAGAAAGAGAAAGGAAAGAGCACATGAAACACTCTCACAAGGCATCACAACTGTACAACTGTACCCAATTTTAGGGACAGAATGAGGTTTTCAGGATCTGTGCCTGGTTTTAGGGAAAGAAAAAAACGTTCAGGGTCAACTACAAAATTATTATATTTTAATTCTTTTGGACTTTAAAGTGGAAGAAAAAGCATAGGTTTGACCTTTAACTCCTCACTCCTCCTGTCCATCTTGTGTACCCTGTATATAAAAAAAAAAAAAAAAAAAAAAAAAAAAAAAAAAGAAAAAAAGAAGGAATAAGAAGAAAGAAGAAGGGATCTGTGTATTTACTTATGTTTAATCTCCTCAGTCAGTAAGCTGCTACTGCAGGAGAAAGGGGGAAACGCCAACAAATGCTGGGCCATGGAGATCTATAAATGATATCAAGGCTTCCAGAATTCCCAGCCGTAATTAAGCACTCCTCAAACTGGTAATGCAGGATCATACAGCTAATCCTGAGCAGATTAAAAATATATCTTTTTATACAGGTTAGGCAGGATAAGTAGGGGTTGGTGGGAGGAACCATTTTTTAAGAATAGTTAGACTTTTCTTCCACTTTAGGACAATCTTTAAATTTTTTTTAAAGATCAAAACATAAGTATCAGATGCAAATTACTGCTCATGTGTACGGTATGCAAATATTTCTGCATTAATTGGCTACTAATCCTCATGGCTTGTGCATTGTGCCCCTTGTCTCCATAGGATTCCATGACCAACACTGACTTTAAGTCTATCCTATTCGGTTTCACAATATGATCTACATAACTACTATGGAGGAAGGAAAAAAGAAAAAAAACAGGCAACGCCTTATTATAAGAAAGGGTGTATCATTGATGTGGTATCCCTTTAAAATTACACGCCTTGATGTTCAGTCACGGTACCAAGCCAATTAGCAATTTAAAAAAAATGATACATCAGTAAATAAACACTGCAATTAACCCTTTCACAGCTCCAGAAGCCTGTGCTGGATCATTGGGAGTACCACATATTTCAAAATTAATGACAAGCTAAATATACTTCCACAAATGACGTGTGTCACCACCTTAGAAAATAAATGTAGAGGAGTCATCTACATGACAAGGGATCATCACCGCTGCTCATCATATCTTTACACTAGGAATGTAAATGGGGACATATAGTTCTGAAGTAACAGTATGATAAATGAGCGACTTAGACAGGTCACCAATTGTGCAATGGAGGACATGGGGCTGTGGCCTAAAAAGCCTTTAAATCTGCCTACCTGATGCATGAAACATCAGTGATGTTACAGGTTCCTTGCCAGACACATACAGCATAAGGTACTGCCTGGTATAAATTATATGGATTCAGAAAGGATTACGGGCTACAGCTGAAAATCCCACAAATCTTCAAGCTGAATGTCTGACAAACTACTAAATACAAAGATAAAATACAAAATGTCAGCCATGTTACCTACCAAATTATTTCTGTCTATCCAGTTCTGATATTTACATAGCTCTGTCACATACCACAGTGCTGTCTGGCAGGGTGGAACACCTGATTTTAATTGCTAAAAGTACACTTCTACTATTTATTCTATCTGAAATATTCTTTGCTCTGTCAAGAGTGTCGACTATGCTCACCCTTTCCGTCCCCCTCTATTCATGGAAGCTGTACTATAGCTTCCATCAATGGAAAGTATGCCTCCTCCATTCACAGAGCACTTTACATTAATTGAAGCTACAGCATAGCTTCTATGAATGGAGGAGGGAGGCAAAAAGGGTGAAACTGGGTCTGTCATAGGAACTTGTCCACAGTATCAACTATTCCTGCACCCTTTTTGCCTCCCTCCTCCATTCATAGAAGCTGTGCTGTAGCTTCAAGTAATGTAAAGTGCTCTGTGAATGGAGGAGGCATACTTTCCATTGATGGAAGCTATAGTATAGCTTCCATGAATAGGAGCGGGACGGAAAGGGTGAGCATAGTCGACACACTTGAGAGAACAAGAAAATGTCAGATAGAATAAACAGTAGAAGTGTACTTTTAGCAATTAAAATCAGGTGTTCCCCACCCTGCCGTATTAAACCCCATAGCACCACAAGATTACTACTGCGGGGGTATGGAGGGGATAGAAAGGATAGAAGATTTCAACAAAAAAAACAGCAGCCACCAGCACAAGGGACACTTGTCAAATGTAAGTACTGTCCTTTATGCTGATAGATATATATATATTTTTTATATATTTTTTTTTCTATCTATCTTGTATTGGCGAATAAAAGCAAAGCATCACATGGTCTTAAAACTGCCTCAACACAACTGAAAAGTCCATGTACACTAGTCTTTAAGCTTTACATGTGCAAGGAACCATAGTACCCAGCCAGAATCTTACACTAGCCAACATTCTCATTGGGCAATACTGCCTATTATTGCATTTTGCGCTGTGCACTGAATATGCCCATCTGAATAATGTTTTAATCTACTGAAGCAAATGCTGTCAGAAACATCCAATCAGAATCCAGCTTTTTTTCCTAAACCTGTATAACAAAACCAACATCTAGAATCCAACTGGTCCCACCGGGGACACCACCTCTACTCACGGTCCCTGTGCTCCCATTTTCTGTAAAAAGCTTAAGGCTCTCTGTCAAAGCATGGGTTAAGCATCCCGAGCTCAGCATACATTTCCTTTCCTTTCCCCTTGTCTTTGTATTTGGTGAACTGATGAGAAAGAAAGTTCAACAATCCGCGCAGTGTTTGTTTATGAACTCTCCCAGACATTCACCTCATCGGCTCCTTCCAAGCAGCCGGTTGGCCCCTTTACAATAGCACAGAGTGCAGCTGAACAAGTGCAACAATCCACCGCCAGAGAAGGAGTAAAAAGATGGAGCAGTTTCTTTTAGGACCAAAACCCTTCATCTACCATTATATGGTCCATTGTCCTGGCCTTTCCAAGCCAGCATCGCCCCATTTCAATCCAAGAAGATAAAAACTCCTTTCCCCTGTGTACATAACCACTTTGGGATAATATCTACCATTATACCACAAACAAATGATTTCCATATCAAAGAATATGAAGAAAAATAACAGCCCTTAAGTGAAACTTTCCATTAGATGGATGTGTTTACATACAAGCAGCGTGTACAGTCTCTTGTCAAGACAAGTCACCAGTTTACTAGAACAGATTAAGTTAGTTATTAGCAGACTGGGGGGGAGCAAGGCTATAAAAAACACAGCCCAGGATCAAAAACTTCCACTCCTAAGGCAAGGCAGCTGTGTGTTGATTAATGGAGGCAGCCATAAATGCGGTGTTTAAAGTATAAATCCACCTTTCAGTACATTTTGTGGAGTATTGTAGTACAACAACAACAACAACATTTAAAGCAGAACTCCAGGTAGGCAATTTAAATGCTTATATGCAACCTGTTTAAAAAAACGGTATGTAAAGCCAAATTTGTTTTTAGGTTAGTATTTTTAGATTCATCACCGTCTATTTCTACTAGGGAAATAAACTACCTCTATTTGTTCCAAGAACCATTTGTCACCAATGCACAAAGTGATAAAAAAAAAATCCAAATTTTCCAGTTGCCACCAGAACAAGGAGTTGAAGAAAAATCGTCCTATGAGGACACCTGTTCTGGTGACAATTAGGAGGTGAATACACTTCACTTTGAGATTTTCTCTCACCTATTGGTTTTATATATAATACACACACACACACACACACACACACACACACACACACTTTTTGTAATATATATTACACTTACATACACACACTTTTACTGGCAAATTAATTTGAAAATCTATTTAGCAAGTTTATGATTCACACATCCTCATCACCATTACTTGCCAAGTAACATGCATTTAGCTTTACAGGTCACCCTTGCACCTCTAGCCTGTTCAGTTGATAAATCCCTTAGCATCTCTACCTGTGTCCAATGAGCATATAGATGACTCAGGCAGCGTTAAAGCTGAACAAGGAAACCAAATTATGTTCCTGGCTATTTAATATGTAAAATAACAAGAAAGTCAGTCGTTATTTGAATTTTTTTCAGGTCAGTGGCTTAAGTATCAAACAAAATGGAGGTTCACTATTACAACCAAGCAGAATATTAAAAAAAAATATATATATATATCAGCTATGGCAGCCACCATGGTTTTCCTATCTTTTAGTGTAAATAAAACTAAAAGCAAGAAAAAAAAAGTACCCCTTGACCCACTCAGAGATGCCCCTGTGGGTAAGCTACCACTGGTTAAGAGTCTATATTCTATAGTCTGCAAGTAAGAAAATAAAGACAAAATAATAGTCTGCAGGAAAAAAAAAAAAACCTTAAGTAGCTACAGTAGTAAATCACACTACAGATTCAGGAGTGCTCACCTGTAATTACAGCTTAGGTTGGTAATAAATTCAACACACCCAGTTTAATAAAAGGTACCAAGGAAAAGAAATCCATGGTGTCTGCACATACCTTGCCTTCATCGTTGAGGTCCCAGGTGAAGGAAATAGCATTATAGGCAATCTCCTCAATGTTACTGATGGTGTTGAAACTCTCTTTGTAGTCAGCTGTAAAACAATCACAGAAGTCAGGTCAAATGTAGAATTTTTGACAACTCTACTGTAGAGTGACTGATCCAACTTCAAAATGCTGCACAGTGCACCAAAAGGATTATGTGGCAGATTAACAAGTGGAGGAACCAAAAGCTTTTCAGCAAAACGTTATAGGATCGGATGATTAAACCATGGGTGGACTATCAATTCTTTAATTGGCAAGATCGACCTTCAGAGTTTTTTTTTTTTTTTTTTTCTGCCTCCCCACATCATGAAGTCCCATTTCTTTAGCTGTATCCTTCATAATGTTACGTGAAAAATACTACAGAAGAGTAGGTAGTGGCTACCAAAGATAGGCAGAAAAAGAGCAGAAGTACGGATGTATATGGAGAAAAAATTCAGCAGTCACTTGGTTAAATGGAACTATTAAAAATGTATTTTAAAATTACACAGACCTGTCATTGGGAGCATTTCCTGCATTACTGCGCCCCAAGGCATAAATATAGTAATAATCACTTGGGTCCAGAAGCTTTGCTCGGGCCCAAGTGAAATTCAGGCTCTATAAATGGGTCACAGGAGTGCTGGAGATGCAATCGTTCAAGAGGTATCTATATCCACATATGGTGGGAATGTTGTAAGATTATTCTTTTTTAGTAGATTATCTTGGAGATATATTTATATTATGAACTGTTTGGTGAATATTTATTTATTTCCCCTGAACTTGCCCTGTAATTTATCGGATTCAGTTGCCATAAAAAAAAAAAAAAAACTTTTGAGACATTTTCTCCATGTCAATAGGCAATCGATACTCTCTTTCTAGAAAACATCTGTAACGCCCCCCTTGACAAGGTGGGTTAACCTGGTAAACAACATTAAAAGAACAGAGAACTGATTCACTTTTGACACAGATACTCGATAATTTTTTCACTAAATGGACAGTGTGAGTTCTTTTTTCCCTTTTTCTGATGCTCTGAAAAGAAGACTTTAACTCAATATTTTTCGTTCACTCAGCCATTGAGCTCAGGATATGTCAGTCATGTGATAATTCCTTTTTAACTAGTGGTCACATCCCAACATATTTCTTGGTTTTTCACCTTAGGATTCCCAGACCAGGATGCCTATACCTATACTTACCCTGCTATTTCCATATCCTTATCTGTTCATTTTCTTTCAACTTCTCTTCAAGACTATCTTCTTGGCAAGAGTATTCCTTTCTTTAATACTTATGATTCCCAAGCTTTGGGATATTATTAGCAGGAAACATAGTTGGTGTTCCTGAACATTTGTGTGATATGGACATTCATTCTCTGCATTACTATGCATTTACTTTATTGTGTTATTGATAATGCAATTGCCTTGTAAAATACATTTCTGCATTCTCTCTTAAAGATTGACAAAAAACATATTCAACATTAAATTTTGGACTCTATAGCAAAGCAGGATCCACAGTTCCACAAAACCTTATTATCAACCCTAACATGCTTCACACAATGTAACAAACGTCTAGACAATCTTGACTCAGCTTGAATGTAAAAGCAACTAATCTCAATGGTTGTTGCCCACTAAAAGCTTACCTATATCAATGCATCTCTGTTTGGCAGTGTGCTGCCTGGAATGCCAGTATTTCCAGTGACGAAGTTGGTCTTCTCGACTTTTGTCATCAGCAAACACAACCATGATAACACTCTGGAAGAAACAGCAAAGAGTACAATGAAATGAGCATCCAGAAGAGATAGTTATATAGCTATACATCTGTGGCTGGGCAGCTGGCATCAGGGCAAACAGGGCTGTATTTTTATATGAAAAACCCATGGGAATATAGCCCAAGCCCAACATTTACACACTGATCCCAAACAGATTTGTTTTCCTTGTCGTTGACAACTTGTGAGTAAGCTTAACAGTACAACTCAAGAGAAGTAGGGGTGTCAAGGAAAATTTTCTGTAGTTCAAATAAATAATTTATTAGACTTTTCCCTTAGAAACAGATTTTTTTTAGTTTTATATTTGCTGCTTTGGGGCTTCCCCTTCCCATAAATGTTTTATTGGCAAACGGATACTGGCAATTCCAAAACATTATGTAGGATATGATCCTGTGAAATGAACACAGGAAATGGTTGTCAAAGACTTGCACTTGTGTTAAGAGATCATTTTGGCTACAGAAGTAAACATTTTAGGGTGAGGAGCTTTACTGTATTGTCAGTGATAAAGACTTACCCGGACTTTGCTGATTGGATGGTGTATCCCTTTGTTGCTGCCAATCTCTTTCAGTGTTATGGGGTAAAATTGACCTTTGTTCAGATAGGTCATTGTGCTGTCTCCAGGCTTTGGTCGCAAAGATTTTGAGGCTTCAAGTGTATATTCAAAATTATTTCTAGAAAACAAAACAGATTACAAGACTGTAAGAAAGTTATAACAGAATGTACACATTAAACACATCCCTAAACTCAGAAACAAAAAACGATTATGCAGCTTATCAGTCCTTAGATGTGTTGTCTGCATTAGTCCTATTTTTATAAACAGTTTCCCATTTTCAATTGCCAGCCATATAAATAACATGCTTCATGTCCCTGGGTGGCTACATTCCACTGTATCTACAGAGGGAGCTATGTTGCCACCTAGGCTGGACTTCAAACGTACCTGCTTTTGTTCATCACATTGGGGATAGGGAGATGAGTAGTACCTATTGAAAATATTCTTGGCCTCAATAAAAAAAAAAAAAAAAAAAAAAAAAAAAGTATTGAAACCATTAGATCCAATGACTAGTAAGCTGCAATGTATTACATTTTTGATCTGGGTTTAGTTATTTAACAAACATGATATACCCACAATTCCTTTCATCTAAGCCATTGGTTTTTACCTGAAACAGGAGTTACAATTATAAATTGGACCTGGCTGTAACTATGCAAAATTCTGGTAGTTCTGCTAGTTAAAACACAATGTCATTCTGTAACACCATGGTCTATATTTTTACCCAAATAGCCAAATTTTCACCCAGCTGTTGATCAGAAGAGTTTCAGAGTTTTGGGAACAGGAACCTAAATCATGGAAGTGAAAAGATTTAATATCCCCCCCCCCCCCCTTCCCGCAGTATAATGGAAATGCAGAAAAAGCGTCTAAATTACCCAGCAACAGAATCAAAAACGTAGTCTTCAGAGCTGACACTACTAATCCGTAAATTGAGGTCAGGTGGAAAGAAAACCTGAGAAAACAAATCAAAAATTTCAATTAAAATATGATTTACATCACCGATCTTGTCTCTAAATATCACCCAAACCGTACTCTCTGCTCCTCGCAAGACCTCCTACTCTTTAGCTTCCTTGTCTCCTCCTCCCATGCTCGTCTCCAGGTCTTAGCCAGAGCTTCCCCCATCCTCTGGAACTCTCTACCCCAATTTATCAGACTATCGCCTACTCTGCTCACTTTTAGGCTATCTCTGAAAACCTATCCTGCCCTCAGCTAATACTGGAATCTTCTTCTCTTCCAACCAGTCCATCCCCCACAGTTACTACCTTTTGTACCACTAGCCCCTCCCTCCTAGATTGTAAGCTCCAAGGAGCAGGGCCCTCCTATCCCTCTTGTATTGAACTGTATTGTCTCCCGTTAGAGTGTAAAGCGCTGAGCAAACTGTTGGCGCTATATAAATCCTGTATAATAATAATAAATAATAATGAACAAAAAATAAAATTAAATAAATAATGATCAAAACAAAAAAATGATCAGGAATGTAGGGGTTTTTTTTTGTGTCACCAATCTTAGCAGGGAGAAAGGCTTCTAAGCCAGTTTACAGAAAGGAGATGGTGGTCTATTTCACACCCCTGGCTGACTGATCTTGGGGATGGGGCAGGATCAATCAGGCTGAAAGACAATCAGAATTTCTGTACAGAGAGCAGCATTCCAAAAAAAAACTAAGATTTCCCCACTGTAACAACCAAAGTCTGAACATCTCCCCTTTGGACACAATAAAGAATTCATGAAAACAAAGAAATAAAATTTACCCCTGGAACATCATCTTTGAAAGTCTCTGAGAAAGTCGTGTCTGGAGTCCGCCTCTGAGAGCTGGGTGGTTGGCTGCTGGAGCTGTAGTGGTCAGGGGTAACATTGCGATCAAAGGACACAATGCGTTCCGCGGGCTCAGCATGGTAGACACTTGCTGGGATGTCCACAGTGAAGCCATGGCTTGTGGATTCTGTCTTGATGCCATGGGCTGGCATTGATGTAATGGAGACTGTGGCGGTGGTATCTGGGGAGCTCAGATGTCCTCTTTTGTCTAGGTGGTTGCCAATTGGGAGGACAATATTAAAAGGCACATTGGTCTTTAGAACTTGGACTCTGTTGTCTCCAGTACAAATTAAGGGCTGCTCATTTAAGTGTAACAGGCTATTCCTTTGAAAAAGAAAAACAAAAATTTGATTAAAATTAGAAATAAAATTCCACACAGAGATAGAGATCCTAATAGGACTGTGTGACCAGTTCAGCCTCCATGTGCATATATCAAACGTGTTTATGATGCAGCTTAAAGCCCAGAGCCATTACATTTTGCTCAATGTGCTGCTTTACATGATAATGCCCTCATTGGCATATGATAATATCCTTATGGCAAGTGTAAAGAAGTACCATCGTCTGCCTCACAACTAAAAGGATCATTCAAAGTGCAAGTAACAAATTTGTCACCATAAAGACTTTTTATTCTGCTTGTAACATTCACAGTAAATGTACGTTTTACACAAAAATCATCAGCAGGTTACAGGTTTTATATCATACAAAAACCTTCTATTTGTCCATTAAAGTAGAACTAAAAGGCAAAAACTTTTTCCCCCACTTCTGGATCAGCGCAAGGGAGCGTTATAGCCCCTGCCAGATTTTTCTGTCATCGGTGTTCCATTGTGGAGATTTCCCTTCGCTTTGTCCCATAGCCAAACAGAAAGTGAGAGGAAATCCCTACAAAATTAAGGGAATTCCTTGGGACCCTAAGGGACCAAAACCAGTGTCCCCATTGTAAGATTTTTCCAATATTACATTTCTGGGGACAACCCAAAATTTGGGGTTTCTTTTACTTCCACTTTCGATGAAAAAAGGTAAAAAAAAAAAAAAAAACAGAACAAATAGAGAGGGCCAACATACAGCAATAAAAACCTGATAGTTGTTCTAATCCATCTCCACTCTGTCCAAAAACTAAAAAAAAAAAAAAAAGGTTTTACCTGTAGTTATACTTTAAAGTGGTTCTAAAAGGCTCAAGTTTTTTTTACCCCCCCTCTCCTGATCAAGTGACATTCAACAGCCTCTGCTGTCTGGGGGATTTTCCTCCTCATTGGCTGAGGCAGCAGCGATAGCCCATGAGGAGAGTGAGAGGGGTGTGAGTGGGGGTGAGTGTGTGAGTGTGTGAGTGTGTGTGTGTGTGTGTGTGTGTGTGGGGGGGGGGGTCACTTATGTTCTCAGGAGATGTATTTAAAATATCTACAGAAAGTAAGCTCCAGTAAGGGCAGGGCCTTCCCTACTTTTTATTATCTGTTTATATAAATGCTTTATTGTTTCTATGTCCATTACAAACTTTACAAAATATTGTGAAACACACAAAAATCAAAATAATGTCTGGGTTTCTTCAATAGGACATGTAAAAGACAAATCTGTAGTGCAAACTGCATTAATCCACAAAGACCAAAATCCCATTTAGACTGCATTCACACTTGAACGTTTTGTAGCTTGAAGCTCAAAGGTCCAAAAAATCTCAAAACGTATAAAAAAAAAAAAAAAAATAGATAAAAATCGATTGTTCTCTATGATGCCTGTTCACACCTCATCATGCACCATAGAGAACAAATTAATTTTTAATTTTGAGTGTTTTTAGAGCTTCAAGCTACAAAACACTGAAGTGTGAATGCAGCTTTACAGATCATTGAAAAAAAGAATTCTAACTGGTCTCTGTTGGTTACTGCAATGTGTACCAAGCCTGGTTGAAGAAGCCTAAAAATGACGTAAGATTGTAGTAAATAGCATGTAAACACATTGTTAGTTATGGATGTAAACTGGAGCCAACCATCAAATAAGCTTGCCACCTACAACAGCCGGCCAGGTTTTAGCTTACATGAATTTATGCTGGTAAAAAACATGGAATCTTACAGAGTGTTAAATAGATTGGGTGTACATGTAAACTAAACACCTCCACATAACTAACCTTTTATTGTGTTCGACTTCAGCCTGATCATGATCTTGTTTGTTGGCTGACAGTCTTCTATCTCTAGGAACCTGAAGGAAAAAAAAAAAAAAAATACACAAGTATTTATGCAAAGTTATTAACGGAAAGGCAGTGACAATGCAGTTATGAATGCAAATTTTACAGTATAGTTCTTCCTTGCCTGAAGAGAGATACTTTTGCTTTTATCAATGTTCCCAGACTGTTCATTAACAATGAACTTCGTATTCCCACTAAAAAGTAAACTACATGTCTCAAAACTCAATTTCCTAAGAGGCCATCTGATTATTGCTGGTGGATATTGTTTTAGGTCATACAAAGCTGCCCCAGCTTTGTATAGTTGTCAGGCCATATTGTGTTTTAAGTATAACCAACTCACAAATTCATAAATGTCACAGTAATTTTGAATGGAGTGGGCTCAGCATCAATAATTAAATTGATCTGTTTTGAGTTTATACAGTCAGGTCCATAAATATTGGGACATCAACACAATTCTAACATTTTTGGCTCTATACACCACCACAGTGGATTTGAAATGAAACGAACAAGATGTGCTTTAACTGCAGACTGTCAGCTTTAATTTGAGGGTATTTACATCTAAATCAGGTGAACGGTGTAGGAATTACAACAGTTTGCATATGTGCCTCCCACTTGTTAAGGGACCAAAAGTAATGGGACAAATGGCTTCTCAGCTGTTCCATGGCCAGGTGTGTGTTATTCCCTCATTATCCCAATTACAATGAGCAGATAAAAGGTCCAGAGTTCATTTCAAGTGTGCTATTTGCGTTTGGAATCTGTTGCTGTCAACTCTTAAGATGAGATCCAAAGAGCTGTCACTTTCAATGAAGCAAGCCATCATTAGGCTGAAAAAACAAAACAAACCCATCAGAGAGATAGCAAAAACATTAGGCGTGGCCAAAACAACTGTTTGGAACATTCTTAAAAAGAAGGAACGCACTGGTGAGCTCAGCAACACCAAAAGACCCGGAAGACCACGCAAAACAACTGTGGTGGATGACTGAAGAATTCTTTCCCTGGTGAAGAAAACACTCTTCACAACAGTTGGCCAGATCAAGAACACTCTCCAGGAGGTAGGTGTATGTGTGTCAAAGTCAACAATCAAGAGAAGACTTCACCAGAGTGAATACAGAGGGTTCACCACAAGATATAAACCATTGGTGAGCCTCAAAAACAGGAAGGCCAGATTAGAGTTTGCCAAACGACATCTAAAAAAGCCTTCACAGTTCTGGAACAACATCCTATGGACAGAGGAGACCAAGATCAACTTGTACCAGAGTGATGGGAAGAGAAAAGTATGGAGAAGGAAAGGAACTGCTCATGATCCTAAGCATACCACCTCATCAGTGAAGCATGGTGGTGGTAGTGTCATGGCGTGGGCATGTATGGCTGCCAATGGAACTGGTTCTCTTGTATTTATTGATGATGTGACTGCTGACAAAAGCAGCAGGATGAATTCTGAAGTGTTTCGGGCAATATTATCTGCTCATATTCAGCCAAATGCTTCAGAACTCATTGGACGCCGCTTCACAGTGCAGATGGACAATGACCCAAAGCATACTGCAAAAGCAACCAAAGAGTTTTTTTAAGGGAAAGAAGTGGAATGTTATACAATGGCCAAGTCAATCACCTGACCTGAATCCGATTGAGCATGCATTTCACTTGCTGAAGACAAAACTGAAGGGAAAATGCCCCAAGAACAAGCAGGAACTGAAGACCGTTGCAGTAGAGGCCTGGCAGAGCATCACCAGGGATGAAACCTAGCGTCTGGTGATGTCTATGCGTTCCAGACTTCAGGCTGTAATTGACTGCAAAGGATTTGCAACCAAGTATTAAAAAGTGAAAGTTTGATGTATGATTATTATTCTGTCCCATTACTTTTGGTCCCTTAACAAGTGGGAGGCACATATGCAAACTGTTGTAATTCCTACACCGTTCACCTGATTTGGATATAAATACCCTCAAATTAAAGCTGAAAGTGTGCAGTTAAAGCACATCTTGTTTGTTTCATTTCAAATCCATTGTGGTGGTGTCAGGGGCGGACTGACCATTCGAGCACTCGGGCACTGCCCGAGGGCTCGGGGTCAGTAGGGGGCCCCATGAAATGCCCCTGGTACCTTTTTTATAGGCTTTTTTGAGTGTGTGCAAGGACACAGGGGCCCCATGATCCCCCTTTTGTCCGGGGGCCCCATGAGTTTTCAGTCCGCCCCTGGGTGGTGTATAGAGCCAAAAATGTTAGAATTGTGTCGATGTCCCAATATTTATGGACCTGACTGTATGTTCTCAGTGTGTTTACATGGGTTACCCCAACTGCTCCAGTGACTCCTACATGCCAAAACACATTGGAACGTTAATTTGCTCTATTACATGCAAAAACAGCCAGGACATTAGACTGAGCTCCCACAATTTACTCTGTAAAGTACTGCGTGATGGTTACATAGTTTGTCAAGTTGAAAAACACAAGTCTGTCTAGAGATAGTTAGATAACCATACCCACAGGTGATCCAGAGCAAGGCAAAAAACCCAATAAAGCATGATCCAATTTGCTCTGGTGAGGAGGAAAAAAATATATATATATTTCGGATACCCTGAAGGCAATTGGATATTCCCTGGAACAACAATCCTTGGTGTTATTACCTATAAATGTTAGTATTCAGTTATATTTTGAGCATTTAGGAATGCATCCAGCTCTTTTTGTTTGAATCAATCTACTAAACTGGTCATAGCTATATGCTGAGACTATATAAATATTGGGGGGGGGGGGGGGGGGGGGGTTGGGTAAAAAGGGAGAACATGAACCTTGTAGTAGTCATAGAGGAGGCCAAGTGCTGCAGCACTGTCTTCATCACCATTGATGCTCATCATGGCCTTAGTTGCTGCTGTCAAGGGGTTTTCCAAAAAGGTTTTCCACGCCTCGTCCTCACTGGTGTACGATCGCCTCTGCTGATACAGGGGATCATTCTGAAGTACTAACACAGGCCGCTTACTAAAACAAAAAAAAAGGCTGCTGTCAGAATCTTAATATATAGATTTTTAAACAAATTAAATTAAAACAAAGGATTACAGTGAAAAAAGTTGCAGAACCAAATTTCATTTTAAGAACACAAATCATTTCTAGCAGTCATGTAAAAAGAGCTAACCATTTGCAACAGTTCTATGTGCCGCACATTAAAGATTTTAGCAAATTGTATTTTATATCATGCTCTGATTGATAGACATCAAAATGGTTTACCCTGCAGGCACCCGCTGATAACATTTAGCACCTTTTGATGGCTTCCTAGATATTGGGTCACAGACTTTAGTTTACTATAACCAAAAATAATGCACACTTGCTGCCATTCACAAGCAAGGCCAACTTTCCAGTTCTCTGTGCTAGCCGCAGTTAAATTGATTTTTATATTCAATACGGAAGCAGGATTCCTTAGCCAATAGATTCATCGATAAGCAATTTCTATCTACTTTGGTAATAAAAGTATTAGGTTTGCGGTCTAGCAAATTGAAACAATGCTACTAAAATTAGTAAAAATGTACAAAAAAACAAAAAAAAAAAAAAAAAGGGATGAAGCAAAATTTAAAAAAAATACAGCAATAATAAAAAGTGTTCTTTGGGCAAAACCAATGTTCTTGTTATCCCTTTTGTCGATTTTTTCACTAAATAAGCACCAGAAAGCTTCTACAGCCCTAGCAAGGAGGGTTTCATTGTCTTATCCCAGATCACCAGCTAATAAACATGCTGTGCTGAATAAATTTATTCTTTACATTCCATGTTATAAAAGGTACTCCTGGTTTCAGGCTACTCCCCAAACTCATTGTCTTTTCTGTCAGTGCTGCCACTGAGGCGCATGGGGTGTGGTATGCACTTGACATATTGATGTGTCTTTGCAGGAACATGACTTTCTCCATCACATAAAATAGGTTCTTATTCACTGTTAGCATCCCACAAGAAGAACCAGCACTGATGAAGCAGAATTGTGAAGGTTTTTGGTCAGTACCCAGTTATCAGTTGTCCAGGTAAAGAATTCTAAGCCAATACAAATCCCCAATCCGTTTGCTCAGCCCAGCAGATTTTTGGCATTGCATTCCCCCAATAAGCTTCTCATTAATCACAAAAAACTGGTTTGTGTAGCAAATCTGTTGTATGGCCTACTGACCTTACAGACCTTAAAAAGTGGTGTTAAACCCCAAAACAAAAAAATGTAATTACTGCAGATTTAGATGTAGTAAGTGGCAGTTCGAGTGTTGAGAAAAAAATATTTACCACTGACTGGGCTGCTTACAATGATCAGCTTTTATGCATGAAATTCATGTGAAATGTCAGAAATGGGGGGGGGGGCATTGCTGGAACTGATAAAAAAAAAAAGGTGTTAGCTAGAGTCCAGTTTTAAAAAGTGCCCATCTAAATCTGCTATTGCATTGAACACTACCCTATCACCAGACTGACAAAGCTGCTGTCTAAAGGTTCTACTGTTCCCCCTTCCAGAGTGGAGACTTCCCAAGCTGGGAAGAGTATTGCCAAATCACTGGGTGGAAAAAAAAAAATACTACTGTCAAAAGAAAACAAATGCTTTCACCAAAAGTATTGGTAAGCTGCAATAAAGTAGATTTTTGTTTTGGGGTTTAATACTACTTTAAAGTAATGGGACATAGTAGATAGAGCTGTGAAGTTCTGGGGTCCTCTGTTCAGTTCCTGAAGGGACACTATATTGTTTTTAAGCTATTTTTGAGATTGTGCTTTTGGCAAGGGGTTCCAGTTGACCCTACCGTATCTGAAAACATACTGGTAGAATGATTGGCCTCTGTGTAAATGAGCTCTTGATTGGATCTCTGCATGACTGTGGTCAGAACAATAGATTGTAGGCCTCTGTGCCTCAGACCTCAAAAGTAGCCTAGTATCTTAATTTCATTAATTATCATAAAAATCTAGGAGTATAAGGACAACAGAAACTCATGTCATTACAAAAGAGCAACACAACAATCATGCATTTCTAAGCAACAATTGACATCTGTTTACACAACAGTTTTGTCTTTTTGTGGGCTATCTAGCATTCTCCAATTAACTTACATTACCACTGGAACATCTCCACACTTAGGGTGGTCCTAAACAGTGTGGATTTTACACACAAACAATGCTCAACATAGGAACAATGAGGCTATTTCATCCCACTTTGACCTTTTGGAGGTACAACTCCTGCATGTGGAGATTTTCAAAATGTCTCTTTACGCCTCCATGTAAGCGAGAGTATTCCATCAATGATTATTTGTCACCATTGGCCAAAGAGGCTGGCACCAGTACACCAGTGGCTTATCTGAAAATTGGTACACACATTACCCGGCAGCATTAAGTTGCCCATGGACATTGGATCTATTCAAGGGTAAATGAAACCTTCATTGAGGCTGAAATGTTAGCCTAGAGAAATGGGAATCTTACCTCCGAAATGCATTGACTATCATATATAATAAAAGAATAACTTATAACTCTGCATTATCAAATAGTCTTTTTTGTGAAAATGTTCTACAAGCTTTAAAATCTATACTCACTAGACTAGTCCATCTCGGTGTTAACAGAAACCCTGGTTTAAGAGCAGTCAGTTATATCAACACTACTAAATCTACATTATCAGGACTCAAGAAGCCCCTCAGATTCAGCACCACTGCCAACCAAATCCACAGACATCAGATGACAGCCTCTATCTGGCTACAGACCCCAATAGCTGAGGCAGGCATCAGCAGCAAGGCTCCTACCATCCATCCACTACACATCTGCACCAGTCTAAGAGGCTGGTCAGCAGCTCTGAGGAAAGGGACTCGTCCCCAAAATGCGTCAGCCATTTGACCGCACTGACAGTTGGAACACCTTGCTTGCCGTTGCGGCCATCTTCATAATGCAAATGCTTTTTAGATACATGCTTCATCTGAGTATGTTTTTATCCTTTATACCTTTGAATAAATCTTGGATAATGCACTAGGTGTGCGCGCCACCTGTTTATTCTTTATCGAATAGCTGAGGCAGCTCAAGAGACAGAGCAGCCAGACAGGCTAGAGAGTCTTATGATGAATCTCCCCTTGATCAGCCAGCAAAGAGTGTCTGTGGCACACCAGTCCTGCCTCTACTGTATAGGCATAAACACCACCATTACCTGAAACACCCATTCTGATTTAGGGATATGCTTTCAGATACCTGGAGGAGGTTGGAGTGTGCCAGCTTGGATCTGCACCCTCAATTGTCTGTGACCACCATTAGCTGATAGTCTCACCAATGTATTCTGCTAAAAGATTCTGAATCTGATCGCAAAAAAAAAAAAAAAAAAAAAAAAAAAATTTATGTAATCCATACTGGGGATCTGCAAACTACACAGAAAGTCAACAATGTCGCAATAAGAAAAGCTGCATCCCTGACTTGCCTTTAGATGTGGAGCAGTTTGTGATCAGAAAAAAACAATAGGGCTTGATTCACATCTATGCAGGTTGCGGTTGATGCTTTTTTCCAGTGCATTTTTCATTTTTGAACATGCATTTTTTTTTTTTTTTTTTTTTTTTGGGCGAATAGGAAAGTATGACAGTTCCGTTCATGTAGTGCAACGGATATGCCTTTGGCATTCAACTAGCAATAAAGTCACACTACATGAACAGAACTGTCATACTTTACTATTCGCCAAATAAAACGCATCAAAAATGCAACATTTGTGTTATTGGTGTGGGTCCATTGAAGTCTATTACATGCAAAACGCAATCTGCTGCAGGGGAAAAAAAAAAAAAAAAAAAAAGTCCCTGACCCTTTCCAAAAAAATGCACAGATGTGAACTAGTTGCTAGATCCATAGGAAAACATGTTAAATGGACTGTAGCGGGTTTCTGCAAAACACATAGGTGTGCACAGGCCTAAATAATAAGTACACTGATAGGAACCACAGTCAACCAATCAGCAACCTAAAAAAATTCAAACAAGGAAATACCATTTGAAAGAATGCTGGAAACCTTTTCACAATTGCCTGTTTGATGCCAATGACCCAACAAGCAGATGACCATTGCTGTTGTACATTTTGTAGGTTAAAATTTCACATTTAGTTACAAAGCGATTAAAAAAAAAAAAAAAAAGAGAGAAGAAGTGCACCGAATCGAATTTGTTCCATTTACACATGTTTACAGTCCATTTTTACACTTCTGCTTTTAAAACAATTGCTGTGAGTTGTAATGGGTTTTCTGTAAGGGCTTGCCATAGAGTAGAAACATCCTACCAGGGGCGGACTGACCATTTAGAAACCCATGAGATGCCCCTGGTACCTTTTTCATTGGCTTTTTTGAGTTTGGGCAAGGACACAGGGGCCCCATGATCCCCTATTGCCCGGGGGCCCCATGAGTTGTCATTCCGCCCCTGCATCCTACCTATTCATATGGAAGACCACCCTTTCTACTAACCCAAAGTCAGAAAAAAAAACAAAAAAAAAAAACTTAAAAACATTTTACAGATTGAAAAATTTACTGATGAACACAATATTATTGTAAACAATACAGAATCCTCCATGCAATTTAAGAGCCTCTATAGGGCTGGTATAAAATGGACCCTAGTAAGCCGGATTAGTTCACATGACATTTCGCAGGAAACAAAGATACCAGAGAATAAATCCGAACCCTGAAACTGCTGTAGAATTATTCCTTTGCTCATTTTTCCAGGCTTTAAGCAGTGAAATCCCCTAAATATATACTGGAATACGTCTACTTTCCCAGCATATAATGTAGAGGATTCCTACAATGGCAATCCAATCCAAGATCTATTGTCTCCTGCCTAAACAAGCTACTGGTATACCTTACACGTTAGAGAAAGTGATCCCACGATAAAAATAAAAAAAGGTTTGTTCTGTTTTTCAGGGAACGACCCCAGGCTTTTCTGACGTAATGCAATTTCGCTCCTGAAATCTTAGTTTTTAGTAGCACAATAGAAGGGAATTTTATACACTCCACTGAATTTACATCAGTATAGGAAAATGAATC